ATTATATATATATATATATATATATATATATATATATTTTTTTTTTTCCAAAAAATGACCTTATGATTATAAATTCCAGGATAAAGCTTTTTTTCTGCTCTTAATTTAAAATTCTCATTGGAGTGATGGGTCATTTGTCAATAAGCTAGTACATTGTATCTGAGACTGTTAGTTTACTCTAGCTTAGTAAATAGGAATATGTAAATTATCTTGTGTGTGTTAGATTTGATGACTTACCTGTAATTTAGTTTTATACATTAAAGAATAATAAAAAAATAAAGAAAAGATCCTATGTCCAGTAACTACTAATAGAAGAGTTGAAGATTTCATTTGGTTAAGAAAGAGGATCTAGTTATTACTTATTAAATTATAATGATGGATTGGATAGTCTTTTATCAAATATCATTTTCAAATGCTACAAAAGGTAATCTAGCCATGATCTGCTATTTTTTTTTGTTGAAATGAAATTTACTGCTATGGAATTTTTTCGGTTTTTAATTATTATTGTTGTTGAAATGCTAATTTTTATTTTTCATTTTCCAGTTGTATAGGGAAATGAAAATAATGAAAATGTTGAATCACCCAAATATAGGTAAGGTTGATAAATTATTTTAAAATAGCAGCTCAGTTAATCTAATATTCACACAAATTCCAACATTACAACATTTTTTTTGATATAATGCAGACATGAATTTTTTCTGCCATTTTAAAGAATTCTACAAAATTTACTTTATATGGATTGATTTTCTCAAGTGCAGTAGCCACTATAATAGTCCTGTGGTTCAGTTCATGCTGAACACGTGTATTTTGTTTTTGTGTGGGTGATAAATATTAATGAGGTAGAAATCATGTCTGGGACTTTCCATTTGCATACACTGTGTATCTTTGTGTAGTTATGATGATTTATTTATAAGGACTTCATAACATGGACCACAATTAGGTGTGTATTCTAGCAACCAGTTGGCTGTTTCCATAAGCAGACGTGTTTTCACTACTAGTTGCCACAATGCTGGGGGTGTTTTCCATGCAATAAGTTTCCTAGACTGATGCCATTTTTGTTCTTCCAAACACTTAAGCACAACTTACTGGTGCAAAATTAACTTAAATGCTTGAGTGCATGTACTGAATGGTAATATAAATATTGACAATGAGCTCCACACCAGTCACATTTGTCAAGAGGAAGGATGCAAATACAGTGCAGGAAATACATGGGTTTGGCTTGAGAAACAAGTTTTATTGATATCAACAAACTATTACCTAAATCACAATGGAAATGAGGTCCCATTCAAAGCATTCTGAGTGAGTTAATCAGAAAAGTATGTATATCTGCAAAATAAAAGATTGTAACGTATAAAAATAAAAGTTTCCTTATAGGCTCTAGATCAAGATCTACTGCATAGCATATTACTAGTATTGGCGAGGCATTATACTTTACTGTAAATCTCTTGTGCTGAAGTTAGCATTAATGTCCGTGACTTAAGCCTAATTAGTCTATGTATCCTCACATTGATCAAGATATTGAGTAACATTGATTTATACCAAAAAGGCTTAAGCTATAGGTGATTACTGATGGTGCCAACTGTTAAAAAAAAAGATCATGGTAACTTTACTGTATTTACTTCCTTTTAAGAGATAAAAAAAAATTAATGTGAAATGAATGAATATCTATTTTGCTGTTTTGTGAGTGTTTTATTTCAACTTTCATATTTGTAAATGACCTCTCAATTAAGTCTCAAAATAAGCCTACATAGTGCATCTAGAAATACAAAGTTTCCAGTGGCCTTAGGTGGTCCCTGAACCTCTGGCCCTTATGGGTTTAGCCCCAGGACATATTGTTCATAGATATTTTTTAACCCAGGCTCATGTCTTATAATATAAGATTGTAATGATGAGGTACATTTAGAGCTTTCCTTATTCTCTTCATTACAAAGCTTGATGTATTTATAATTTTACATATATATTTGTACAACTGTATTTAGTTACAACTAGCTGTGACCCACATAAATTTGTGGTAGTCTCCATGCCCTTTGCTTGAATTTTCATTATTCTATCATTTTCACTTACTCCATTTAAGCTATGCTTTCTTGCAGGCAGTATGTGTTAGATTGATAAATCCTAGTCAAATGGACAAATTCACATAGATGTAACTTTATTGAATAAAACTACATGTAAAGTAAACAATAAAGTAATAGTATTTATAATAGTATAAAAAGTACTAATCAGTTATGAGCATTCAGTATATGACATGGTTTTATGAGTTTACACAAAGAAACTCACAAATATGAAAAATAAAACCCATAATAAAGAAAAAGTAGCTAAAAGGTGTTAATAACAGTGTATAAAATGAACTGGAGCTAAATTATTGCAAGGTTAAAGTAAATGTAAAGTTGTAACAAAGGCAAACTTAGCTGAATATGCAGAAATGTCTGAATGCATATTCAAAAAGTGATAAGCATATAGTTTAGAATAAACTACATATGCATATTTTAGACCTAAATAAGTTGAGAAAGCCCATAGAAATTGTATTTAGTATTGTGGTTATTTTGTTTTAGAAAATTACACATGGGTTAAGTGTTTTTTTGTGTGAAATACCTTGCAAATAAAAAAACTGAAATTGAAGCCAGTCATTGTGATGACAACAGCATTGTGCCATCATGTATGATAATTGTTGTATTGAAAAGTTTGACTAAGCATTAAACAAGTAAGATGATTCTGAATTGGAAAGTGAATATGCAATCCAGACTCCTTGGATAAATAAAAGTAGCTACCGTTTTATATAGAAGTTAAGAATAAAAAAAAAAATTAAAATAAAATGTTAATGTTAAAGTGATTTTTGAATTTATTTTAAAACTTATGTTAGTAAATTTGACCTAAATGTTTGTATGTGTTTCTTCTAGTGAAACTTTTTCAAGTTATAGAGACAGAAAAAACTTTGTACCTTGTAATGGAGTATGCAAGTGGAGGTAAAATGTTTTTCTATTAATGAAAGATCTTACAGCAATGTGTATGTAAGCTTAACATAATATAAGTAATCTGTATAGAATTTGTTCACGAAATTTCCTTTTGAGAAAATATTTCATTCGTTCAGCAAGGAGTAGGATACCTGTTTATTGAAAGAAAACTCATAAGAATGAACAGTCTTTGTTATTGCAAATCTTCAAACTGCAGTTTTTAATAAAGTCTGTTAATTCAGATTTTGTTATTTTGCATACATAATGTTAATTCACTGATAATCAACAGTAATTATATCTTCCCATAATAGTTAATCTGCAATATACGGAGTGCTAACATAGATTGAACTTGACATTTTTTTATTGTCATTGGCAATTCTTATCTAATTCTAAACCATCTGTGGATTTCATTATTTAGATTGAGTAAAAGATGTTTGGTAAGATGGGCAATGATTGGTGTTTTTATATAGTGAAGTTTCTTTTTACTATTTATATTGCCTTTCAGTTACTTTTCTGAAGTTATCTCTTTCATTTCAGGAAAATTTAAACAAGTGGTTTTAGCTGTTATGATTTTGTTATTAAAATGTGAAATAAAGATGGCATACAGATCTGCACAGGAAAGGTTCATAGATAACATTATTATAACACAATAAATCATTAGGTAAAAAAGAAGTAATTGACAGATTGCAGAGTTGGCGTTATCCTCATTATTTAGTGGAAAATTTTCAAAATGCAGTGGTGTAGCTTAATGACCATATTTTATAATGCCTAATCCTGTTAGTGTAATTTTCCTGAGTTGTAAAGTAATTGGGTAACTTTTAATTTCAGGTGAGGTCTTTGATTATTTAGTTGCACATGGGAGAATGAAAGAAAAAGAGGCTAGAGCAAAGTTTAGACAAGTATGTGTAATTTTTTTTTGTCCAGTCAGCTTTAGAAAAATCATTTGTGTATAGGTGTTTATGGGGAATTCTTAGTATACTTGTTTATTTTCACTTAACTTGATATTTACTTTTATCATTTTTTTTGTTTTGAAATTTATGTTTGAGGTACAGTAGTCCCTCTTAGATACGACTGACCTATCTGCCATGATAAAAATGTCACATCTGACAGGAAGTCTTTGTTCAAAGGATCAATAACAAGATAACAAATGACCAAGCTCAAGCTGTGCCTGTTGCTATTCCCAGAGGTTGAGCATAATGGTTTGTATACTGTATATGTGTCAGATAACTTAGCAGATTGGCACACTGTATAATAATAGTTATGATGGATAACAGAACAATTAAGATAACTTTAAATTATCTTCTTTGTTTATTTTGTAAAATAGTTTATTCTTCGAGCACATTTATTTCATAAACATCCATATATCACATTTTTATTACATATAAAATATTACAAATTGACTCAAAATTTATTTCATAAAAAAAATCGTCCATCTTTGTTTGTTTGCACATTTGACAGAGTTACTTTGAATGTTCACGAGTCTGGCAGTTATTATATCAAAAAGCATTTCATTGTTAATGCACGTTTTTGTATCAATTTATAAAATAACATGCAATAAATGTCCAGAATTCTATATCAGGAAAACCAGATTCATCAAACATAATAAAAAAACATTCCATATTTACTACCATTGCAACTCAAAAAATCCACAGTATATCTATACAAAACACTGTAATTTTAAACAAAGAACCTAACATCAGAAGCTACATATCTTAATTGAACAAAACAGCCCAACCCTTAACCAAAATTTCACCTTGAAACTTGGATCCTTTGATCCAAGTTCTGAAAAGGGACCATTCTGCAAACTTAAAAGAACTAGTAAATAATAAGAATAAAAATGTGAACTAAATTATTGCTAGACTCTATCCAATAACTAATAAGGCAATCCTCTGTGAATACAAATACTACATTAAATGTAATATGGTGCATTAAAACAATTTTAAGTTGACTAAAAATTCTATAATTTCCATGTATCTTTTATTTTGTTGCTTTCGTCGCAACTTTGGTCTATATCAATGTCCACATTACGTTTCTATATCAACACTGAGCTGACTTCTTCACAACAACACTTTACTGGATGTGGGAGATCAGATCAATGTAAAATTATTCTGAGCACAGAAAAAAAAGTCTTATTTAAAAGGAAGTATTTATTGTGAGGGGTAATATCCGCCAGGGACTACAGTATTTCTTATGTAAACTACATACAAGCTAAAATGATTATTAAAATAGCATTTAAACAAGATGCAATGTTTTGCAAACTGATGAAGCTGTCTTAACTATGTCGAAACATTGTGTCATGTCTTAATTCAATTTTTTGCTGTTTTTTTATTCTTCAAGTTTTTACTGGTAACTTCTTTTGGTCATATAAAATTATTTTAAGACCCATCTTCAGTTGAGAAGGTTAACTTAAATTTTTGCTTAAATTTTTTCTTTTCTGATGGTTCTCTTGGGATGATCAAACACACTAGAGATTGATTTAGTGATTAAATAATCGGTGAATGATTTCTATGTTTATTATTTCCTTTATTTAACATGTATAAAAAAAACATTGTAATTCTATGAATTGAGTTCTAAATCTATATGTCAGATTTTCTTGTTCATAAAAAACTAAGTGATTTTGGAAAAAGATAAAGAATAACATTTCTTTTTCAGAATTAAAAATTGTCCTTTTCTCCGACTAAAACTTAGTGGTAGATTGGTTAACAAATTTTATTCACATAAAATAATTTTTGGAAACACTTGTTGAAACTTTATTAAAGTTTATTAGTTGTTCTTTTTTCTGTGCCAGGTACATAGACTAGAGTTGGGCTGTTAGTGATGTTTGCTAATTGATTATTACACGCTAGGGCTGAAACGAATATTATAAGTAGTGCATCGAAGCTTCTTGCAAGATAACTACCGAAACTTTGAAGCTTCTTACAATTGAGTATACTTGTTATATTATAACAATGTATGTATTTAATTTGTTACAGTTTGATTGTACATGAGGTTGACAGGCATTTGACCTGTCAAAGTTTAATATGACTGGACAGCAGTTGTGTAGTCTGAGTGAGGAAGATTTTCTAGAGTTTGATTACAGGCCTGCTGGAATTCGGAAGCTTTTATTTAGTAGCATTACATACTCCATAATCTCCCATTCTTCCACCACTTTCTTCAGCTTTTCTGCAATGTTTATCCCCGTGTGCTGTTCTGGGAAAGGTAAGGTTTCCAGTACAAAGGCCTGTAGCACCCAGCTATTATCAATGTAATGCGCTGTTACGGTAATATAACTTTCTGTTGCGATGCTCGTCCATATATCCATGGTTAACGATATAAACACTGCTTCTTCACTTAGCCTTTCTTTCAGACGTTGTTTGCACGTTGCATGTTTAAGGTTGATATCAGCAGTAAATTGTTTTCTGCTTGGTAAGACATATCCCGGCTCCAAGTACTTCATTAAGTTACGAAAACCATCGCATTCAACAGTTCGAATGGGGCATAGGTCTTGAACGATCATTTGAGTCACTCTGTCTGTTATATTCTTTGCACGTGTATCATTGCACATCGCAGGCCTTACAAATCCATCAAGGGTAGGCGTCTTCCTGCTCTCCGTTGTGGTTGTCTCGATGTCCGGACAGTAAAGAGTCAAGTGCTTCGACGCGAGGTGATTCCATAGGTTTGTTGTCCCGCCAAAATAGGCAAATTCTTTTTTTACAAATAGTGCACATGGCTTTCCTATGGTCGTGAAGTTTCTTATAAAAAACTCCATACGTCTGAAACCTTTTTACAACTACTTCCAACCGCGCCCTTATCTGACACCATTTTTCTAATCAAAAACTGTATGCATAGCGCATGTGTATAAATAAACATGCGAACAATCGAATGGACACTGCCAGATCCGAAGCCTCTGTCAGCTTCAAAGCTTCAGAATATTCGAATACTTCATCTCGGCCCTATTACACGCTCCTAATCCCCTACCCCTACTAGCACAAAAAAACTAAATGGATTTGTGATAGTTTTTGTAAAGTTTCAAACACTGCAATATTTTATCATGGTATTACTTTTTTTTTTGCAGAAGACATATTCTTTTGTCTAAAAATATTTTTCTACTTTTTTTTAAAGATAATTTGGCAAATGAAATGAATGAGTCAACTAAATACCACCACACAGTCACTATTATGTTTGTTTTTAAAAATATATAGTGATCCCAAACTAATCTTCTGTAAATCAAATGGTGATAATTAAATAATGAAAACATATTTTACTGTCACCAATAAGGGCAATAATGTTTTTATTTTAACACATCATGATCACAATTTGGAATAATTAATTAGCCAGTTAGCCAAATTGTTTCTGTACGTTGTTTGAATAAGATAAAGATTTGAGTCATAACAGTATTTTTCAGTTACCTAACATACTCACTAAGCAGTATTTATGAACATTACAACTCAATAACACTATATTTTATCTGTTAAAAAGTAAAAACACCGTAGTTTTAAACAAAGAACCAAACATCAATGACGTACCTTTATTAAGCCTAAAGTAATCTTCAGTTATGTGATTTCATTTCTTACTGTGTGTTTATATATTATATATATATATATATATATATATATATAGTGTAT